GTCAGGGATCCAGCTGAGAGCTCTCCTACCTGGCTGACACGGAGAGAGCGGCTGTTCCCCCTCTATGATCGCAGGACAAGGTGGGCCCTTCGTCTCTACTTTCTCACAGCGGTCGGTATGTATTGTTCCCAGCCTTCACCCCGTCAGGAAAATAGGTATGTTTGCTCCAGGGACGGGGATGTGCCATTACGCATGGCACAACAGGCAGGGGGGTGTTATTAAGCAGGTATGTCTGTGCTTCTAGTGCTGGACGGACCCAGTGGGGCGCAGACTACATCATGCTTCGCCCTTAACCCAATAGCGATAGCCTTAGAGGGCGAAGCCATATACGAAATAGAACTGAGGTTACCTACTGTAACCCAGCTTCTATGAGTATTGGCGCAGCCCTCTAAGCGCTGGGCCACACTGGCTCTACGAATAGCTGAAGAAAAGTTATATTGTATGGGAGCAGATCGCCGGGCAACCTCCCTATTTATACCGGAAGGAGGCCCGAGGGTGGGGCCCACCTAGCGGGTGGGCGTGGACTACAAGTGTTTTCAGTACTGCGCGGGGGCGCAGAAGGGTAAACCCAATAGCGATAGCCTTAGAGGGCTGCGCCAATACTCATAGAAGCTGGGTTACAATAGGTAACCTCAGTTCCAGGTGTGTCGTATGCATGTAAATTGAAGTTAAATAAAAGTGTGAAATGTAAAATAAAGTGTAAGTAGTTTCAAAACAATGTAACAGTGGCAATATATATAGCAGCAGACACACCTTAGTGCAAGTTAGGTGTCAGTATTAAAAAACAGTGGCAATATATATATATATCTATAATAGCAATAGAAAATCGTTACCACTCTTATTATTGTGGTCTTTAATTTTGTTAGAGTCCTGCCTGAGTTTCTTTATTTTTACCCGGCATCCGTGTGCACTGTGCACGATTCCCAGCTCAAGTAGCTTTTGCGAACATCGCTCAAAACATTTGGAGTTGGGAACTGCTTTCTGTAGAAGCTGCTGCATCCCATCCTCAGAGTAAATTGCCAGAAGCGCCGACACTTCCTCATCATTCCACCGCTCCGGTGTTGTAGTAGCCTACGTGTGGTCATAACTGCTTTAAAGTACAAAAAAACTACTCGCTCAGGTGTGGATGTGGTTTTGTAGCGAGGAAAAAAATGGCTGCCTAACAAACAAAAATCAGAGTCTAACGGGGCGTGGTTTGCAATTCGCCCAGCCAATAGAAATAGAAATTGGCACTCTTTTATCACCAGGTTCGTACCACCTCTCTAGCAGGGACTGAAAATGGCCAAAAGAGTTCCCGGCACTGAGTAGTCCCGGCGGTGTGAACGCGACATTATTGGTACTAACGGAACTAAAGAACCAAAGTACCAGGGAAAGTCCTAGGTGTGAATGCGGCTTATAATGTCGCGTTCTCACCACCGGGACTACTCAGTATTTGTAATGTTCAGAGGTTGTTGTGTTTAATATTCATGAGAATATTTGTCATTGTTCAAATGATAATAAACATTAGCATAAAGCATATTTGTCCACTCATATGTTGATAAGAGTATTAAAAACTTGAAAAATATTCCTCTAAGGAACATTTAGAACAGATCAAAAATGTGCGATTAATCGCGATTAAATATTTTAATCGACTGACAGCCCTAATTTAAATACAATGTGAGGTTATTTCAGACAGGGATTTATGTTTGCCATAAATGATTATTTGTTTCTATTAGTTATTCATTATTGAGGAAATGTTTGATTATGAATGTTATGCTTGGCTTAATGGTGTAAAACACAATCTGGTTAACTTATGTTGTTAATTGTTAATAACATAAGAAGAGCAGTTTTGTTTGTTGTGTTTATGTGGCTATAGTGTGTAAATGTCTGTGGAACCCAGAAAGAATAGCACAAGCTCATTTTGTCCTAATGGTGATCCTAATAAAAGACACAGTAGACTATTATACCAGAAAATTGCAAAACCTGCGAGTAATTTTTGCCCACTGTATTCAAATTAAAATGATTAAACCATCAGTCAAAATCACAGAAATATTATGCAATATTAAAACTAATTAAAATCTCACAAATGAGAAGTTGCGGCCGTGTCCTTTTTGCTCAAGGTTGTTAAAAAAAAGTAGCTAGTTTTTAAATAGTTGCAGATTCTTATTTCCGTCTTTATGTGTATTGTTGGAGCTTTAGAAACACTTGTTAAAGATCTTGTGACTTGATGCATGACTTGTGATGTGCTGCGCGCAGTGGAAAAACAAAGTGAAGGACAGAGGTCCAGATAAAGATCGGCAGTCACAAACAAACAGAAAACATAAACACAACATCCAACCTGTTACGTCAGCGTTTACCGCACAGCGCAGACCATTTACTAAGAACAAGTCGCTGACCCACAAGGGGCAAATTCCCAAAAGGAATGCATAGATTGTTTTAGCTCGATCAACATGCACAAATAATGCTGGAATGAGATTGTACGTGTATATCTCAGAGTACCTGCAAAGGGTGACACACGCAAAAAGCGTATTGGTGCTCCTGCCTCATTAGCTAGTATTAAAATGAGGTAATATGGATACATTTCAGGCAAAAAGTACACCTTCTTTGCAATGAACCATATACTGCAAATAACCTTCCAAATCACAAAGATCAGCACTGATAGCCACAGCTTGAAAACATTACCAATTACAATTATTTTTTATTATTATATGATTCAGGATATTTTAGATATTGATCATTTATATTCATAATTCTCATGATTAATTAAATGTAAATAAATTATAAATGGTATGATTTTTAACAGGATTTGTACCAAACAAATATCTCGGGATATCTCTTCAGCTCAAAAATACACTTAATTCATGATAATATTTTAATACATATTTAGCCTTTAACAAATATTGTGATCAATGTGAACCTTAATTTTGCACTTAACTATGATGACATTTTGATAAGTGTGTATTATTTGTGCAGACCTAGCCACAGCTACTGTGGAAGTCTGAGGGTCTTTAGACTGCGGTCAAGCCAGCCTCCACTTCGGAAAACACAGTCAAGCCAGCCCGCACATTGTATTGCGGTGCGCGAATATCCTATGCATTACGGTAGAGGCCTGGAAAAACTGCCTTCAAAATAAAAGCGTTTACTTGGTCAATAACAAATACACCTAAAAAACATACCAAACATATTCATATATACTGGAGCTTAAATTAAGAAATATGTACTATATAATACTAACTACGTATAACTACCACATTATAACTGAGTGAATGTAAAACTTAAGGAGTTTCAAAATAAAATGCTTTTGAAATCTCATATATGGGCTATCGTCCATCTGTTTTTAGATAAGAATAAAACAAAAACGGTCAATTATCAAAGACTTATTTGACTTCAGGGTGATAGCAGCACACCCCAACTAGTCATTTATCAGGATAATCTGATGTAGAGTTTCAAAATAAAAGACCTTTGAAGTCTCATATATGAGCTATTGTCCCTCTGTTTTTAGATAAGAATAAAACAAAAACTCTCCAGTATGAAAGACTAATATCACTCCAGGGTGATAGCAGGACACCCCATCTAGTCAAATCAGGACAATCTGATGTACAGTTTCGGGCTGGCTTGACTGTGTTTTCCGAAGTGGAGGCTGGCTTGACCACAGTGTCTTTAGAGAGTTGGTGGGAACTGAAGTACATTAATAATGGATCAGAATTTCCACTGATCGTGATAACATGAAATATTTGCCGCCAGCAATACCAGACTGATATATTAAAAAACTAATTAGGGTTTTCCTCTGTCACAATTAAATTACTTAGCTCACGGCTTCAAAAAATGTTCTCTCTGCCATTGTTCAACTCACTGAGTTCTCGGCACAAAGGCAACTTTTTGGTAAAAAAACAGACGCAGAATAAAAAGACAAAATGCACTTGGCTTCAAAATGTTTTGGCGCGTTTGCAATGTCATTTGTAGTGCAGTATCTTTTGTGTAGCGAACCCTAAGGGCAGAAAGTGTTCGAATTCATGGAGATATAAGCGGCCGCATTCCATTATTTGTGAATTCACCCACTGAATGTTGTATAGGAAACATTCTTATACATTTTAATTAGGGATGCTCCGATCGCCAATTTCGGGGCCGATCGCCGGAATCAGTATCGGCCGATACCGATCGCCGATCCGATTGAGTGGGCGGGGCCTAAATGGAAGATTTAAACATCACTTTAAAACTCAGTTAATGGGGCTCATTCACTGGAGCTTCCACAAATAACAATCAACTTAATTATTACATTCAAATGATGTACATTATTCAAGTTTACATTCACTTTGGATAATAACATGGGAGAAATTAGCAGAAGCGTTCTCTTTTCCTCTCTCCCTCTCTCTCTCTCTCTCTCTCTCCCCCTCTCTCTCTCTCCTGACAGCCTGTCAGTATCTCATGCAGCTCACTGATCCAGTAATGAGTGACCCGACAGGGAAGAATACATATATTTATAATGACTAGTTTAGCTTGTTCCAGAGGTAGATAACATAGCTAAGTGTGTTAGGTCTAACTCTTGTGTGTTTCGCTTCGCTTACCGGTCCGGCGGGCGGAGCTGCAGGGTTTCTGCTTCACACACGTTGCATTCCGCTATTTTACTGTCTTTTTCGGACACCTTAAAATAATGCCAGACCGGTGAAGCCATTTTGGCGAGCTTGTTTTGCCGCACACAGAGAAAAGTGTCATGTATTTTACGTCACGCGATCGGCTCTCGCGATCGGCATGTTTAGAGAGCACCGATCGATCGGTAGAGAGTGAGTATCGGCCAATCTCGATCGGTGACCGATCGATCGGAGCATCCCTAATTTTAATGTTAGCATGATGATAGCCTAAGGTTCAAGGTGCACATTACATCACTGCATCGTGAAAGGATTATCTTAGGTAAGGGTTGTGAAATGAAGGCAAAAAACGACGAACATTTTTATAATATTCAGCCTCACAGAGCTGCTATGGCAACAATATTCTTAGTGTGGATCCATTATTTATCTACTGACCTGTTCGATGTCCCTGGTCGCCCCACAGTTGTGCTGCCTGATCACCCATTTGGCCCTCTGGTGGAGGTGGAGCCTGTGGAGGGACACCATGTGACGGAACTGTTTGGACAGAGACTGGGAGCTCTGCAGACCTCCCTTCTGTGAGAAAACGCTCCAGGACCGTTTGACCGGCGACTCTGTGACAGGAAAGACATCTTTGTGTTTCTCGGTGTGAAGTCTGGGGACCTCTCTCTCTGGGAACAGGTAGTTTGGAGTTTCGGAGATGCAGGCGACATCTTTGGGTTCTTGTGGATTTTCAGGTGAAGTCTCTGCAGGTGGACCATCAACTTCAGGTTTCTGGGACTGGATCTGAGGGGTGTGCCTCCTGCTGTGAAGAGAAGAGAAGAAGTCATCCGAGCAGGTGATGACAGGAGCAGGTTTGGCGGGTCTGATGGGCAGGTGGTGGTCTGTGGAGGAAGGGTACCAGCGGGTGAATACTGGAGGAATCCGACAGGGGAAAGGCTCCAGAAGCTTCTCTGTCCTCTCTAACAGAGAGCTGAGCCCAGCAGCTGATCCAGGCTGATCGTGCAGAACCACATCCTCCATACAGATCAGAGGACTGACTGAACCAACCTCCTCCTCATCTTTCGCCTCATGATGTTGCTTCAGTTAGAAGCAACTGATGGTGGTAACACAGCAGCAGGCAATCCAAGTTGTCTGTGAAAATTCAGATACACTGGTTACTTAAATACAGTCACATTACTCTATTGTGCTTTTTGGGGATTTCCCTTTCATGTAGTGTGTTATATAGGTTTTGGCCAGGGACGTGAACAGGTACGGGCTAATGTTGCCCGGGCAACGGCCCGTTTTCCCTTTTTGGCTCTGGAGAGAGTGAGAGGTTTTTTTTTTTCTTTCTGTTGTAGTCGAATCAACATGATAAGCCTACAATAAGTAAAAGATGTTTGAATGGTGATATACACAGTGATAGATGTTAAGGACTAACGTTTATAATAAATACATTTGTATTGATTTTAAGATATTTTCATACAATCATGCGTATTGGGATCATAATTTGTATTAATGTAGAGCGGATGACGAGCATAAGTTTCACTTTCCTTTTTTATTTCAATTCCAACTTTGGTCCTGAAGAATATGTTTCTCTGTTGTCCACATTCATAAAGCATAAAGCAACAGTATCAGAGCACGGTGCAGAGTCTCTAGATGAGTTTACAGTAGTCCCTCCTTCTTATTAAACATCCATGTTGTAGTCCACTGTATAGAAAACTGTAGTTTCCATAGTTTCCCCACAGCAGCAGACGCACATTTATGACGTCCGCTGGCGCATCATAAACACGTCGGATAGTGAAAGCGCAGTCGGATTCTCTAAAGTATCGGGTTGCGTTCCGATAATCCAAAAATTAGCTCCTAACGTCTAACCCTATCTCCTATTCCTTGACCTCTGAGTGAAACGTCACGGGGTTAAGGGATAGTGGATAGGAGAATTCAAAAGGACTTAGGAGAAGAGACCGCGGTACTTTAGAGAATCCGAATGCACTTTCACTATCCGACGTGTTTATGATGCGCCAGCGGACGTCATGAATGTGCGTCTGCTGCTGTGGGGAAACTATGGAAACTACAGTTTTCTATACAGCGGACTACAACATGGATGTTTAATAAGAACGAGGGACTACTGTAAACTCATCTAGAGACTCTGCACCGTGCTCTGATGCTGTTGTTTTATGCTTTATGAACGTGGACAACAGAGAAACATATTCTTCAGGACCAAAGTTGGAATTGAAATAAAAAAGGAAAGTGAAACTTATGCTCGTCACCCTCTCCCTCCGGTCCACATTAATACAAATGATCCCATACGTATGATTGTATGAACTATGAAAATATCTTAAAATCAATACAAATGTATTTATTATAAACATTAGTCCTTAACATCTATCACTGTGTGTATCACCATTCAAACATCTTTTAAAAGTTGAACAAACTCCACACAGCTCAGTAAAGACTGTGAGATGTTGACTTTATTTGATCATTTCAGTAAAAACTAACGTTCATATTTCTCTTTTTGATTATAATACTGATGAACGTTCAAAACAAAGCACTTTGGCAACTTACCACATACGTTTTAAAATGCTTAATAAGCACCGTAACTTTCATGATATCATTTCTCCCATTATCGTTTGTGTCCGTGAACGGCCGACTGTTGAGTGACGGCAAATGCTGCGGCTGCAATGCATTGTGGGGCAGCATTTTCTCCTCTCCTTTCGGTTAGGGAGGTCCAGTGGTTCCTAAGCTAAAGGAGCTTATAAAGGAAGTTTGAAACCTCCTTTCCTTTCATTGGAGAATTGGAACGGCACTTATCATGGCTGCCAGTGACGTACTTCCGGGTCATTTCACTCCGTTAGGAAGGTTCCTAAGCTAAATGGACTATTGGAATGGGCCCCCGCAGTCTCTTCTCCTAAATCCTTTTGAATTCTCCTATCCACTATCCCTTAACCCCGTGACGTTTCACACAGAGGTCAAGGGATACCGCAACCTGAGATCTGTGTCTTCCTGGTCGAATGTACTTATTGTAAGTCGCTTTGGACAAAAGCGTCAGCTAAATGCAATGTAATGTAATCTGGTTGGGGGCATAGGTTGGGTGAAAAGAGGTGCGACAGCACAGGCAGTATGACAAAAATAGACCTTTTTGAACATTAGCGCATGGAAACAAGTCCCACAAAACATGATTGTCCATCACAATTACGCTTCTTCCTTTATACGCCCGTTTCAGCTGAATACAACTTAATCGGGTTGGTAACACTCCTGTGGTGTCTAGTCCAAATCTCTCACTGGAAGCTAATGTTTTTAGCTTGCTGTGCTAACCGACGTCGACGAAAAGGGATCTAACTACCAAACTAGAAAGCACAGTGGCACCGATACAGGTATCCAGTGGGTAGCCAACACTACCTTGAACAGTCCAATAGCACTAAACACCTACCTTTATATCAGCTGAATGATGTCCTTTATTATTATTATAAGCAGCCAACAAGGAGTTAAACCTGAATTTCTAACATGGAGACATTTTATTGTCGCGCTTCTCTTGATGAAATCTCGCGATAGTTCAAGTAACGCGCAGACGTAGTCAGAGCCTGTTCAAACTAGTGTTGTTTCATTACATTGTTACTTTCGTTTCAATTTGTATTTGTTTATGATACATATACAGTACAATCAACTTAATTTTCATTATGGATTAATATACTAATTATTCATCAATTGATTGAACCATTGTTTGGTTTCCAAAATAAGTCAAACAGTGACTGAGACATCCCTTCACAACTACCCAGAACTTAACCACTGCAGGCCTAAGAAACGGTAAGCTGTTCCTTGAAAAAAACGATACTTCCCAAACCTTTTTTGGGAATTTGTGACTTTATTCAAAGTACCCATTTACTTTGTGTTAGAATATAACCCTATAACCTTTCCTGACAGGTTATTATTTGTATTTGTTCTACTTAAAATAGTCAGAACTGCGTTGTAGAATTGAAAGAAGCGACACTGACGCAGAGCAGTAGTTTGTCAACAGGACATCTTTATTTTCATACGTCTGTTGTCTTTATTCAAATTACAGTAATATACTTGCTGAGATGACCACCGGCTGCAGCCTGGACAGCTAAAACTGACAGCTGTACTACTTGAAGCAAACTTTTTTTTTACCGTTTTTTTCTCCTTTTTTAAAATTATCCTTGCAACAGAAAAAAGCAAATATGCCATGAAGAAGTGTGGTGTGGTGTGGTGGTGACGTCGTCAGGTAGGTAGGGTTATAGTGCTGGTCTAAAAAAACGAAGAAAAAAAAACAGAAGAACAAAAGAAAGAAACATTGCGCGCGTTGTACATGTTGTAAAAGGATCACAATATGGCACATTTGGTCCACGTTGGTAATTTTATCTCGTTTCAAACATGTAATAAACAAAAAGAAGGAAAAGGAAACAGATCATAGTTGTACATGTTGTTTTTCCCCAGAAGCACAGCATTAATGACAGCATATTGAAAACAAGACTAATCTTTAGGTTTCTCTCTTTTTGTTAAAATCTTGGTTCGTCAGCCAATCGTTTGTTTCTATTCTCCCTGGTACAGTATTATTATTAATATCTTCTTTCCATCCAAAATGAAGGGGAGTGAAGGGATAGGGGTAAGAGGGGGTGGAGCTTTGTGGGTGATTGACAGGCATGGCTTTGGACATTCACAGGAAGTAGTCAGGAGTGCGTCTGGTCACATGGGGCTCGCCGCGGCGGGGGGCGGGGTCAAACTGAAGGCTGAGGAGGCAGAAAAGGTTTGTTATTAAACACGATTAAAACAATATTCTTAATATTCTCATCTCAAAGTGACAAGGAAGGTGTAAGCGGTAGAGAACTAACTTTAACACAACGTATAGAGATTTAAATGTACTATCATTTAGAATATTCTGACTTTTACATCATTTACATTACAGACTGCAAATATTCTGTGCTCTTTACGCCATCAATTATTGGAATGTAAGTGTTAACTACAGTGAACAGATAAGAGCACTTACAATCTGTGTACTAAATTGCAAAAGCTGGTCAAATTTCCAATAGTACATTTCTCTTTTATATTTAACGTTTTAAATTGCATTACTTTATTTTATTATTTATAAATGTGACTTGTGCATGTAAATTCTTAGCAATAAACTTGGTTCTGATTTATATATTAAAAAGAAGGTAAGCAAAAATGGCAATATGGGCGTGTGCAATTTCTAAATTGCAGTATGTGCAATATTAAAGACCAACCTTTAAACAGTACAGGGTATAAGCAGGAATCCTGAAGTCACATGTAATTCCTTTTAAGACCTTTTTTAAGACCCTTTCCATACATTTTAAGACCTCATCGCCACGTGGAGTTCTAACCGGTTACATTGGCGACACACTTCACCTCACATTGACTATATACAGTATTGATTGTCCTTCCTCCTGATCTTCCAACCATTTGGACGCAAACTTGCATTTCCCCATAACGATGTTGTTTAGCAACCGGCGTAAACGGAGCTTCGCTTGCTATCAAGCAGTGAGCGTGCGATGTCCTGTTCAGATGACGTCAAACCCAACGGGATGCCATAAATAAACTACACAGAATCACACTACACACCTACGCAATGATTACATTCAGGCAGACTGTAGAATACAACCTCTTTGGACCATTTAGATACTTATTGAAAACAAGCTACAAAATGTAATACCTTGGAAAATGCCGTTTAATCATTTTGAATAGCCTTAATCTTCGCTAAATTGATTGATCAACTTTTAATACTTTTTAAGACCCCGCGGGCACCCTAAGTATTCTCCAGACATATTAAAAAAAACATTGTTTGGTGCAGATCCTCTTACCAATAAAGTAACTGCACCATTTCCATGGCCTTCACCGTTATGCCTTTTCAACAAAATGGATCTCACAACGCTCACAGCAGCAGAGGCTTCACTTTGAGTAGCAGCTAATGGAGCCAGATATCATCCAAGTTATTAGACTGAAAAGGTCCTTTTGGTGCACGTTATGAATCACAACATAGACCTCTTACCGGTTGGTAAAGAAAAAAACTCGGGCCGTGTTTCAGCCCTAAGCGAAATTGAAATATACAAAGTGTTTATACTTACAAAGAATATTTCAGAGTGTCGTCCAGTTCCATGATGGCTGCCTGGTTTCCGCAGCGGTAGCAGTAGTTTGGAGCACTAAAGATGGTCACCACATTCTTATCGTGACCCCAGTTGTAGCCCTGAAAGTGCAAAAGCATGTTCATTGTTAAATGTTTTCATGATCCGACTGTATTCATCCGTAAAGGGACAATAGGCAAGTACTCTTCCATTAGTATTCTTCACATTAATAACAGTAAAGTAACACTAAAGGGTACCATTCCCAAGTAAAGAAAGGTTGCAGAAGTTAAACTCAAATTCACGTTAGTTACATTAACTCCTCAATATGCTGAATGGGTCATTTTAGAATGATATAAATATATTATAGGATTTGAATTATTCATGCATTAATGTGGTCAACACTTATTGCTGCTGGTAGAGCACTTTTTGTTTGACTTTATATATTTATGGATAGCTTGTGTTTCCCACTGAGGATCAATAAAGTCTTATCTTAACCTACCATTAACCAACATAAAGTGTTTGTGATATATTTTGATGTATGCGTTTGAATCTGAAAAGTACAGAAGAATAATGAATTCACTTTTATTCAAAGTGCATTCTGGCTGGCATCAACAAACTGAACATGCAGACATGTTTGCTTTCATGAAATCAAGCTGTTTGGGCTTTGAAAGATCAAAGGCAAGGCAAATCTTTTTCGCATAATGCTTCCAAAGAGAAGACGTTTCAGTTATCATGAATAAATGCAGCATTATTTATAGCTAAATGCTTACTTAAGTCGATCTGTTTTTATAGGCTGATTATATATATATATTAAATAATAGAATACTTTCTCTTATAGTCTGCAACAGCCCAGTAATATAAATAGATTTGACTTGAACACAGAGTGTGTGTCAGATGAAGCTGGTACAGAAACAGCAACAGGAGGAGTACTGCACTGCTCCAACTGCATTACATTGGGTTGCCATGGAGACGCGAGGACTTTCTGATTCTACAGTCCGCTTCAGTCCACTGAGCATGTGTCAATTTGAAGGAAATAAAAGGGCTAAAGCTTAAAACAATAAATGCGTTTATACATTTCAAATTGTGGTTATTCTATTTCAAACAGCTGACATCTTCCAGGGAAAATTCAACTACCGGTGTTGTTCTATAATCGAGCAGGAACTAAACACGACTTCATTGGTTAGTTCAGTGAAAGGAAATGTAATTAAACGTAATCTTTAAATAACTTTGCTAAAGCCAAAATGCAGCAACATTTACTGGATCCAGCTTTGTACATTTGAGATGTGCTGCTAGTTTTAATCTTACAAGATAGTACACTAAATATGTGTCATCTGTCCCAGAACCTGAACTTAATGATGTATTTTTAGAATAAATGGGTTGCATATTAATTAAAATAATAGTTAGTTGCATTGCTATAAAAGCCTTGCTGGAAAAACTGCTAGCGTATTTGAGCACAGCCATCAGGCAGTTTTCACACCATAAGAAAAAAAAGTTTATGTGACGGCAGCTCGAGTCTCCAGAGGAGAGACGGCTGAAGATGGCGTCGTCAGTACAGCCATCATATCGTGTTGGAAGTCAACAGTAGTATACTGTTCGTATGACGGATAAATGTGTGTAGCCGAGCTCGACACAGGAGAGAATTTGGTTAAAAAAAATTGGCAATTCAGTTTTGCTCTCCCGTCCCGTCGAGTTTTCTGAACATTTTGTGATGTAGTCCCAGTGTCTTGAATGTCGAGTGAACACTCATGGGACTCAGTTTAAAAACAAATACATTTTAAAGGCTACCTTGCTTGTCAGAAACGGGCTGTATGGTCATTCTGAAGGCCAGTTGGTCTTGTGCACAATTATACACACCAGCGATAGTTGTCATGAAAACTGAACTACTGGCGCTGCTACTCAATGTTATGGAGGAGGGAAATAACGGGAGTAATAGGCACACCGGTTATAAAAAGGTGACGCTTTCTCTTTTTTTAAGTGTTGTGCCGTTGATCTCATTTATGCCAATCTGGACTTTGAAAAGTTACTAATGAGATTTATTTTAAAGAAGACAGAAATCTTAAAGTTGCCGTGGAGCTAGGTGGTATAATGACACTTGAAATGGATTAATATAGTCACGGAAAATAAAAACATTAACTGATGTGTGTTACCTCCATAACAAGCTGATGGGCGCGGGACACCAGAGTGAGGCCGTTGGCATGGTTGAAGGTTTCAGAGATGTCCTGTCCGAAGGTGTAGCCGGCACCTCGGGGAGAGATGCCCCACCCACCGCGATCATCGGGGTCCGACCACAGCAGGTCACACATGGGGCCCTGAGAAAGTGAGAGATTCATTATTTATTTATTTCCACTTAGACTTTATTGAGCTTTTTTCCAGCCAATAAACAGCTAACAACCAAGCAACATCAGCACAGTACAATGACTTTGTTGCCAGACAGCATGTTACGAGAAGT